AAACAAAAGTTAAGTTAGTTTTGCACTAAAAAGACGCGAAAAATGGGCAAAAGACATATCGCTCAAGGTGAAAGATGGCAAATTAATGCTAACATCAAAGAAGGAACCAAAAGTAATAGAAAAATTGCCAAGTTAATTGGAGTTTCTGAGAAATACGTTCGGACAACGAAACAAAACTTTCTTCACACTGGTGGTGCCAGCGAGAAAACGAGGCCAGGTAGACCCTTGTCAACCACCAGAATGGACGATAGTGTTCATTTTAGAGCTGTCAGAGCTAATCCAAGAATTAGTTACAAAGAGTCAACCACAGAATTCAATACAACGCAAAATACATCTATTTCTCAAAGCACAGTCCGCCGAATACTTATCAAATACAAGATTGGAGTTTACACTGCTTTGAAGAAACCGCTTCTGCCTCCATATGATAAACAAAGGAGACTAAAATGGTGCCGTGAAAGAAGGTATTGGACAAAAGATCAATGGGAAAACATTATGTGGAGTGATGAGAGTAACTTTGAGCTTATCAATCGCAAATCTAACATAACAGTCAAAAGAATGGCTCACGAAAAGTATTACGCCAGGTACATTAGACCAACTGTACAAAGTAAAGGAGGCTCGATAGGAATCTGGTCATGCTTCAATTACAAAGGTGTTGGTATGTGCCAAACATACACCAGAAGAATCAACTCCAGAATATACGTAGAAGTACTGGAAAACAACCTAATTCCATCAATTGACCTGCTTATGCTCAATGATAAACCATGGAAACTTCAACAAGATAGCGCTACTGCACACACTGCATACTATACAAAGGAGTGGTTCAACGATAATAATATCATGACAATTCCGTGGCCTCCATATTCACCTGATTTGAACCCGATTGAAAACATTTGGGCTTGGATTGACCGTAAATTAGCAAAGGTTCAAATTTCCACACTTGGTCAGCTGAAGGAATTCCTTAAGGAGACCTGGTATGGGGTCCCAGAAGCGATGTGCAAAAATCTTGTTGAGTCTATGCCTAGAAGAGTTCTTAGTTGTATAAAAGCAAAAGGCGGATACACAAAATATTGATTGGTTCATAAATTACGCCTTCTAATGAATCGTGCGTCTAAATTTATGAATAATTTTTTTTGTCTAATTTTTTTTAATACCATGTAGTTGTACCTAATTATTACTTAGTATTTCATTTTTTTTGTAAACTTTTTTTAAATTTTGTTTTCTGTATGTATTTATGTGATAAATAGAAAAAAAAACTAACTGAAATCTTTTTTCGTCATTGTTTTATCGTTTAATAACTAAAAATTTCTATTCTCAAATATGAGTGCGTCTAAATTTTTGAAAACCACTGTATATATATATATATATATATATATATATATATATATATATATATATATATATATATATATATATATATATATATATATATATATATATATATATATATATATATATATATATATATATATATATATATATATATATATATAGCTTAGGTTTTGTATGAAATGAAAAGTGTATGTCAAGCAAAATAACAACTTCAAAAAAAGTTTTTTATATTTCTAAAAAGATATTTAACAAAATACTACAAAATATATTTAACACTAGAGGCCTTTCAATGTTTCATCAGTAGTGCTAGTTTATATTTATATATATATATATATATATATATATATATATATATATATATATATATATATATATATATATATATATATATATATATATATATATTATATATATATATATATGTATATATATATATATATGTATATATATATATATATATGTATATATATATATATATACATATACACATATGTATACAAATGTATACATATATATATGTATATATATATATGTATATATATATATATGTTTGTATATATATATATATATATACTCACATATATAGCCATTTTTTAATAAATATGTATACAGCCATTATATATATATATATATATATATATATATATATATATATATATATATATATATATATATATATATATATATATATATATATATATATATATATATATATATATATATATATATATAAGGGTTCATTTGTATCAAAAAAAAAATGTGGCCAAAAAAGTTAAATAAAAAAATACTTACAAAACATAAAAATTAATATTTTGTTGACAATAAAATTGCTTTTAAGCATTCATTGATTTGTTTCAGTGTGGAGTTCACTAAATTCTTAGTAATCTCTTTTAGAACACTATTCAGTAATTTTGTTACAAATTCTTTCAGCTGGTCCAGATCTTTTAATTCAATTTTGCCAAGATTGTGGTTTAACCCGGACTGCAAATTCACTATGTAGTTGAGATCTTGATTATTAGCAGGCCAAGATATGGTTTTAATGTTGTTTTCTTCAAACTATTGTTTGCAAATCTTAGCAGTATGGGGCATTACCTTGTTTGAAGATTCCCATTTCTTTTGGAAAAATGTCAATAGAAGCCATTAAATAATTATCCAATATGTCTAAATATCTTTGAGAACCGAGCCTTCCATCAAATATTTTGAAACAACCGACACCTTCATAGTTCATGCAGACCCAGATGCCTATACTACCACAACCATGTTTTTTTTTCTATACGTAGAACAATTTGGGTCCATTTTTTCATCTGGCTTTCTTCTCAGCATTACTTGGTTTTTTTTTAAATCAACCTCAACGTTTATTTCATTTATGAAAAGAACATTGTGCTACATTCTCTTTAACCAAATTTTATGAGCTAAACACCGGTTTTTTCTTGTTTCATCGATGTTTTATCAATGGACGTTGTTTTATCAATGGACGTAATTTTTCACAAGCAGCTCGCTACATGTAATTGTGTTTTTGTGGTAATCTTCTAATTGTTTGAGCACTAGCAAAAACACCAGAAGCTTTTTGTCCTTTGAGACTGAGAATAGTAGATAAACTTTTTTTTTTCCCCTCTATGTGAATAAGTGAACTTTCACTTCTTTTATTTGAAATGCTGAGTCTTCCAGGACATGGAAGATTTTGAATTGTATTGTATCTTTGATATCGGCTGATTATTCTGCTAAAAATGGCATTTGTTGTTTTAAAATGTTTTGCAGTTTCTCTCATTAAGATGTTTTGTTCATTCATTACTATGATTTTACATTTTGTTATATTATCAATAATTTTTCCAGTCGATTTGATCGTTATTGCTGAAATTTTGCAGCAAATTATTGCTGAAATATTGCAGTTAATTAGATACTCATTTTTTAATTTCATTTTACGCAAATTTTTTAAATATTTATAACAATTTGAATAAAAGTTCTCAAATAATTATAAATAGTTCGCAAATAAGTACAAAGACAAATGAAATTTTGAAGGACGTTTAAAATAAAAAGGTGGATTGTTAATTTTGGCTATAATTATTATTTTAGATTATGAGATATATGTCAATAGTAAGCAATATAATATATATATATATATATATATATATATATATATATATATATATATATATATATATATATATATATATATATACACGCATATAGGGGAGAGTTGCCAAAATTAAAACAGCGCCTTAAATGGAACACTTGCATTTATTTTTGGAAAAAAATGAATTATGACTATATTTTGCATTTTTTTAGTAAAACGCCTTATTTTTTCCGTTTTGACTCATTTTGAAAGTTATTCATCAAAAAATGCATGTACACGGTTGATTTAAAGTCATTTTTGCGTCATTTTTTTTTCAGTGATCTGATTTTGTGTTCACACTATATTGATTGCGCTGGGTAAACTGTAATATATTAGGTTATACGGTTTTTTGTGTTTAATTCGATGGGATTTAAATAGCAAAATAACAATATAAGCTTATGTTATAAGTTGCTGCAAGCATGATATTGCAGTGATATAACAAAATAGTCCAAAGTTTCCTTGATTGGAACTTTTAAGTTTTCCTTACTTAATCAGTAATAAAATCAAAAGGTTGTAGAAATAGTTCGAGTCCAATATAAAAATACTTTGTAACAACCATAAACCTTAGAAAAAAAACATTTATTTTGTGATTTTCAATCAATAAATTAAGAGAATGTCATAACAGTTGAAGCTTTAATATAGTTTTTTGTGTGTAGACTTTAAGTTTGTCAGGGTAATACTAATCCTATAATAAGTTTTGAATTAACTGTTTAAATTTTTAATGTAAAGATAAAAATCATTTTTAATCAATTTTTGTTGATTTAAAAAAAAAAAAAAACCCTGTTCTGATAAAGGAATCAAAGTGTTCCAATATAGGGAACCAGTTGCCTTGATTGGATGGTGTCTTTGCAAAAACAAATTTATTTCCAATAACAGTGCAATTAATTAAGTCAAATTATGGTTAAAAGTATAGTAGGGTTGTCTGTTTATATTAATCAAATCATAAATGCTTTAATAGTTCTTCCATTTTGGTTCATAAATATTTATTCATAAATTGTTCCAATTAAGGCAACTCTCCCCTACAAATATATATATATATATATATATATATATATATATATATATATATATATATATATATATATATATATATATATATATATGCATACATTAGGGTGCATTAAATGCCACATACATTCAAAAATTGTTCAGTCCCTATTTTAAAACCTTTCTATTGGTTTTTCAATTTTTTTCAAAATTGAATGGTATTTAGGGGGGCCACCTCAAGTCTGAAACTTGCAATCTTTAGTGTTGACATCGTGTATAAGAGTATATGTTATATTAGTCAGAAAACATCAATTAATCCGAATTCTCTTAATACAATTAATAATTTAAAAAATTGCTATTATTCGTATTAATTGATGTTTTCTGACTAATATAAATATATATATATATATATATATATATATATATATATATATATATATATATATATATATATATATATATATATATATATATATATATATATATATATATATATATACATACATATATGTATATACATATATGTATATACATATACATTTAGCCTAATTTTTTTTTTTTTTACATATAGCCAAATTGTGTCGCAGAAATTGTATCTATTGAAAAAGAAAAACGAATTATTATCATATCAAGCCGTAAAATAGATAAAGGCGAAGAACTTACTTACGATTATAAGTTTGAATTAGAAGATGACTCTGAAAAAATTGCTTGTTTATGTGGTTCATTCAATTGTCGAAAATGGATGAACTAAATTTGTAAATTTCTACTGACTTTATACCTTACCCTCGACCGATCTATGGAAAATTTGTATCTATAGCGCCTCAAAGTCCATTCTTAAATGTTTGGAACCAAAATATTCGCCAAGCTTTTTAAAGAAAAAGTCTATAAAGATTACCGTTTATTTATTGTGCATTTTTCAAATGTGCTAAATATGCTAACTACGAGTCTTTCCTTTGTAAATAAATGGTTTGCAGCCATTGATCTCATTTTTATATTCTTTAATTATTTGTTTGTTATGTCTTTCAAATTTTAAAATCGATGTTGAATTAAAAGTTGTACGTAGAAAAATTTTATCCTAGCAGTTGAGTTTATTGTTTGTTTATTTTATTGTAATCAAGTTTATAATCGAAGTATATTTGTATTTACTTTCGTGTATGAAAGAAACTTTATATAATAATTCTTTATCTCCTTTTTTTAATTTTGTATTAGTCTATCTGGGTTAAAATCAAATTGAATCGCAGGTCTGTATTGTGTCAGTTGACTTGGCTATAAAACTGCAAATTATTATTATTTTGTGTGTATGTGGAGGAAGGGAGAGGGGGTGGTTTAACTTGCGCGGATCGCAACGCCATTTTAAGTCTTATAAAAGTTTTCTATAGATCAACTAATCTCTAATTGAATTTCCTTCTATATTTTTTCCATATATTTTTTTTTATTTTTTTTTTTTTTTTGAATACATCTGATAAATAATTATATGGATAAATAATTGTATGGTTGAGTCGGACTTCTTTAACTAATATAAATTATCTAACTGCACTAATAAAAAATTAACAATGATTTTTAGGTAGTTTAATTTAAGCGCTACATAACATCTTTAGGTCAATATGGTTTGCATTCGTTAGATTAAAAAAAGCATTTAACATAAAAACACTAGAGGCTTATTAAACTAATTTCTATAAGTGTTTTTAAGCAAACTTTTAATAGGTAATATTTCGCTGTTGTTCTAGCATCTTTATTTTAGTGAGACATTTTAGAGACAATATCCTATTATCACTTTAGTAGCAGGAAAGTGTAATGGTAAAAAGAAGAAGACAAACATTTTATTGATTGATTTTCAGGAATTGCCATTTGGTGGCAGATCAGATAGCTTGTCAACTTCGTCATTTTCATTATTTACATACACTGAGTTTTTGACTTCATTTTTCTCCAAATCATTTCTACAACCCTCATACAGCTCTTCATAATTAAACATTATTAACTAGAAGAATACGACGGTATGAAAAAGTACGTATAAAAATATATTACTATTCACTAGTTAAACTATGTTTAATAGAAACATTTTTTTTTTGTAATACAATATCTAGAGTAAGCAAAATATAAAAATATAACATGCGCTTATAAAAAATACTTAAAAATTAAATTTTTTCAAAAACATAAAAAGAAAAGTTAGAAACTTTATCTCCCTCAATTAACACTTATTCAAAGATATCTTCACCCACACCAACAATTACAACACCCTAATCTATGAGTTTTTACCTTTGTATTCTACTATTTGATCTTGCCCCTCACACAAACACAATTAGGCAAGACAGAGTAGTTAAACTGAAACAAAAGATTTCTTGTGGCAGTTTAAAAATTAAAAACATGGCTAAACTCAAATGACCTTAATAATACTAAACGTTTTTATATTCCTCATTTTAAATTGATTTCGCTCAATAGACAAGTTAATAAACGCGGTGGTGGAGTTTCTATAAACATAAATGAAAATATCAAGCATCTTGTTAGGAATGATTGATGCGTTTCTGACGGCGATAAAGAAGTTTTATCTATTGAAATTATAAATAAAACATCTAAAAATATATTATTAGGCACCTACTATCGACCACCTGACAGCGTGAGCGTGAACTTAAGCATTTTTTTTAAACAAAATATCTTTAAAAAAAGCTTAGAAAAAAACAAAAAATGTTTTATTTTTGGAGATTTTAATATGGATTGCTTTACTTATAATGAAGACAATAAAGTTAAAAACTTTTACGACTTAATTTTTGAAGCTGAAGCAGTTCCTTTGATTAATCGCCCTACTAGGGTAACTAAAAGCTCAACGTCTCTTATTTACAATATCATTACAACTGATATCTTTAACTTTGACATTCAAAAAGGCATTTTAAAATCTGACATTTCTGATCATTTCCCAGTCTTTCTGACTCTTAACTCAAACGCTTCGATTAATAATAATTCTAAAACAATATTTATTCGAGATTTTAATCTAACCAATATGAATCTCTTTAAAAATCAGTTATCTCTTTTGCACTGGGATCATATTAATTTCAAGGGGAATGTTGACACCATTTATGAGACCTTCTTTAAAACATTTTACGCCGTATATGATGCTAACTTTCCAATTATTGAAAAAACAATTAAAATAAAAAAATTTAATAACCCTTCGGTTACCAAGGGTTTCAAAAAGTCATCTAAAACAAAACAGAAGTTGTATATAAAATATCTTAAAACGAAATCGTCTAAAAATGAAAAAATATACAAAGATTAAAATATTTGTTCAAAAAAATTCGTAAACGCTTAAAAAAAAATTATTACTCTAGAATATTAGACAAATTTAAAAATAACTCTAAGCGCACTTGGAAGGTAATAAAAGAAATTATTGGCAATCAAAAAACATGCTCCCCCAAAATATTATTGTTGATAACAAAAGTATTTATGAAACAAAAGCTATATCTAACGAATTTAATAAATACTTTATCGAAATTTAATGATTTCTTAGTACCAATGTATGATTGCAACTGTTCCAAAGAAATGTACTCAGAATTATCTTTTGATGAATTCGAAATCGCCTTCAAATCACTAAAAAATAAAAAAAGCTATCGGAGCTAATGGAATGGTGACATAATTATCGAGTATTTTGATCATCTCAAAAACATTCTTTATAAAGTTCATAAATCATCTGTCTACCAAGGAGTTTTTCCTGATCGTCTAAAAATTGCAAAAGTTATTCCAATTTTGAAAAAAGGAGATTGTTGCAATATTAGTAACTATCGCCCCATATCTATCCTTTCTACCTTTTCAAAAATCTTAGAGCGTATTATCTACAATAGAGTATACAATTATCTTGTCTCCAATAATCTTTTTTATAATAATCAATTTGGTTTCAAAAAAAAATAATTCTTTTTTTTTTTTTTTTTTTTTTTTCTGTTTACATTTGCCGTAAAATAAATACTATATTTTACAAGAACAAAGAAAACAAGGCTTCTGAAAGCAAATCTACTGATCTTATCATCAGGACCTTTACAATTTTATCATAAATATAAATCCAAAAACGGCCGTAATAATAAATATATAATAATAAATTCATAATATTAATCACGTATCTGTAATAATAATTCTTACAAATCTGTTATAATAATCCATAATAATAAATTTTATAGATCTGATATAAATTAAAGAAAATAATATAAATTAAAGAAAACAAATTTATTGATATAAATATTATTATAAATCTCATAAATCAAGTTTATACTTCAAGCTAATAGTAACTTAAAATGTCATCCATAGCAAGAATGAATTTTTTTAATTCATTTTTAAAAACAGAAAAACGGATAAAAGGATCAAAATTAGGCAGAACTATTTTATTCCAAAGGTAAGGTGCTCTATAATTAATACAAAATTTATTAAAATTTGTTCTACAAAATGGTTCATTTAGCAAATCTTTATTTCTTAGTGAGTACTTATTAGTAAGTTTTTATGTAAAAAGGTCGTTAAAAACAGGTAGGGATAAATTGTTTTTCCACATATAAGTAAAACATAAAACATTGAAAATATTAAGTTTGTAGACATTAAGTATTTTCATTTCATCAAAGAAAGGCTTTGAATGTGTAGAGCGATCAACATAATTAATCACGCGAATCGCATGTTTCTGTTGGCGATATAGACGTTGTAGTTTACTTTTTTCGGTACTCCCCATGCAATATTTGCGTAGTTTAAATAGCTGTGTATGAATGAGTAATAGAGCTGCATAAGGCTTTTTTTGCTTAAGTAAGGTCGGGCTTTATACAAAATGCCAATATTTTTAGATACCTTGGTGGTTACATGATTAATATGGTTTTTCCAAGTAATATTCTCATCAAGATAAACACCTAGGAATCTTATAACAGAATCTCTTTTTATTAGAGTTTCATCAATATAAATTTGAGGCATAATATCTGGTAAAGAACGTTTTTTTGAGAAGGAATGAAAAAGAATCCATTTAGTCTTGTTAGTATTTAACGTTAATGTATTACATTTAAACCATTTAGAAATGTTTATAAGTTCATTATTAGTTTTTAAGAAAAGTTTGTAAACATCAGTGTGGGATTGAAATAAGTTAGTGTCATCGGCATAAATAATACTCATAAGGTTAGAGGCTTTGTTTAGATCATTGACATATATAAGAAATAGCAGCGGTCCAAGAATAAAACTTTGTGGAACACCACAGGTTATATTTAAGGATCCACTTTGAACGTCATTATTACTATAGACTACTTGCTTGCGATTTGTTAAATAGCTTTTAAACCACGCTAAAGTATTATTGTTTAAACCCTAATATTTCATTTTTTGTATTAAAATATTATGGTCAACCGTATCAAATGCTTTTGATAGATCTATAAAAATACCTAATGTATATTGAGCTTTTTCAAAGGATTTGGAGATGTTGCGTACAAATTGAATAATGGCATGCTCAGTTGAACTATCTTTTTTGAAGCCGAATTGATTATTGTATAGTAGGTTATTGTAATTAAAATAATTATTAACTCTGTTGAACATAATTCTTTCTAGGATTTTGGAGAATACAGATAGGATAGAGATGGGGCGGTAATTATTGATATTGGATCTGTCGCCTTCTTTGTGAATTGGAATAACTTTAGCAATTTTTAAGCGCTCAAGGAAAATTCCTTGTTGGATGGATGCTTTGTAGATTTTAAAAAGAATATTTTTAATTTGTTCATAGCAATCTATAACTATATTTCCGTTTATTTCATCAGGCCCAGTTGCTTTATTTTTTTTTAAGGTTTTAAAAGCTTTTTCAAACTCTTCAAAGGATAATTCGGACGATAGTTCATCTGAGCAAATGCCTTTATCAAGAGGTGCTAAAAAATCATGAAAAGAAGTTTTGGTAATTGGAATTTTATCTGATAGGGTTGGACCAATTTCAACAAAATATTTATTAAACTCATTAGCTATAATTTGTGGATTGTATAAAATTTTGTTATCGATTTTAAGCATGTGTGGTAAAAAACTTGAGCATGTTTTTTGTTTCCCAATTATTTCTTTTAGTATTTGCCAAGTGCGTTTTAGGTTATTTTTTGTTTCATTAATCAAATTTGAATAGTAGTTTTTTTTTAAACTTTTCCGGATTTTTTCAAATAAATTTTTATATTCTTTGTATTTTTTTTCGCTTGTAGGAGT